CCCCTCCTTCTTTTTTATGTTTGTTACTCTCTTGTAACACCTCTAATCTTCTGGCGCTCATATGACCTTATGCAGTTGCGAGCGCCGTAAAACCTCTACTAAAACAAACAATAACTCCCAGTGGAGCACAGGCCATCAACATTACTCCAGCGAAGCCTGCCCTGAGCATCCTTTTCTATCTCTGTTTTGCTATAGTATTCTAAAATTAACATTTTCCTTGTTCTCCCCACGGGTGGTTGGCGGGTGCTCTGGTGTGGTTTGCTTCTTCTTTCCTATCAAACATCTATCGTCCTTGTCTCTCCTCCTTCTTTTTTGTGTTAGTTACTCTCTTGTAACACCTAATCTTCGGCAGTTATATGACCTTATTGTGTTGCGAGTGCCGTAAAACTCTCAACTAAAACTAAATGAATTGACTTGCCATGTTGATGTGCTTGTCTATTTTGCTATTATAATGTTCTAAAATTGACAACATTTGCCTTGTTCTTCCACCACCCCCACCCCCACCCTCACCCCACTGTCCTGACACCAGGAGACGGGCTGGTACATGCAAGTGCTGTACACCACCATACAGTCAGACCGCGTCCCCCCCACCTCGACCACCACCAGCACTACCAGCACCAGGGGGCGCCCACCACCACTGCCACCACCACCACCGTCATCATCGGGTGGCCAGGGCGAGGCTGTGAGGTCACAAGTACAGGCCATGAGGTCACAGGTTCAAGCCAGCGTGAAGAAAAAGCTCAGCCCCACCTGTGTGTGGTACGGGGTGCTCAAGTTCCTGAAAAAAGTGCCGAAGGACGAAGCCAACAAGTTTCTGCACTCCACTCTGCCGCGAATTATCGAGATGGCTTTGAGGATAGAAGAGCTCCGGCCGGATAAGTCTTTGCCCGTGTGTAGAGCCCAAGATGGTGAGGAAGAATTCTTTTTTTTAACCCTTTGCCATCACAAGGCTTATATAGTAAAAAAAAAAACCTTGCCATCAAAGGCAAACGCATTTTGGTGAAAATCCAAAGAAACAGGGCGCTAAACATCGCCGATCGGCGAGATGTGACAGCAAAGCGTTAAACCCTTTCAATGCTGAGACTTTCCTATTTAAGTTTTTGCAGACAAGAGAAACTGTTCATTTAAGAGGGATTTATTTAAACAAAGTCATAATGTATTTATTCCTTATTAAGAATAAGGCTGCATGCACAAATTGCAAATACATCTTGTAAAACATCATCAATAAACCAGTGGAAACGTGGGGTGTTTGGCGAGTGCTCTATTGTGGTTTACTCCTTCTTTCCTATCAACCATCTATCGTCTTGATCTCTCCTTTTTTGTGTTTGTTACTCTCTTATAACACCTCTAATATTGAGCACTCGTATGACCCTGTTGCATCCCAAATGTCGTAAAACTCTTTCTAAAAGTGAAAAAAAAAAAACCCAGTTGAAAAGATGCTGGTCAACGAGTTTGGGAAACACAAGAGAGTTCACCCATCTACACAGCAGTGAAAAAGTAAACTGGGAATGTTTTTTGACTATGTCGACATAATTTCAACTGTCAAGGAGGTGGGCCCCTTGAACCCTACCTGCCTGGGCCAACTCTGGCTGCATGGGAAAATAACATCCTAGCAAACAGATGGAAGAAATCAATAAAAATACATCCCTTCACGAGAATGGAATTGACGTATTCTTCATGCAACGACATTGTCAATCCGAACTAATAAAGATATGTTGTTGCGAACACCGTAAAACTCTTACTAATACCAAAAGACTTTAAAGAATTAAAGTGTGTTTTCGTTAGTAGAGTTAAAAGAAACTATTTTTATCTGTAATGTTTTTTCATTTTGAAAAATTTGATCCCGTCTGCACCAGATTTTGACATGTGTTTTATGTTTTTTAGAAGAAGTCTTGTTCAACTTTTCTGCCACTCTTAAAAATTTCCTTATCGCTGTTATACTATAGTGTGGATGGTTGGAGCGTGTCGCTGGAAGGTTGTTCTTCTTTCCCTTCCTTCTGTTGTTTCTGTCTGTCTGTCTGTCTCTCTGTTTGCTGTTTTGCTTTTACCCAGCACTAGATAACCGTATGTGTTGACCATTTTGGTGCTATATAGTATGTGAGGCAGCGTGGTGGAATCAGGCTCTCGTCAAAATAATCAAAGTGAAGAAACCTGCATTTTTCCGCAGGTTTGTGAATTTTTATTAAATTTTTTGTTTTTGGTTCAACCCTTTCATGCAATTTAAAGAACTCATTTCTGTTTGGATTTTTCATAAAAACGTTGATTAAAGGCACAAAAAATGTAAATTTTCAGTTACCACGGACTCTTAAGCTAAGGAAACAACTAATCTTTGGCGGCCATTTTCTCACTAATTTTACCTCTGAAAACGGGTGACCCCCACCTCCTTCATTCGCAAATATCTCGACTTGTTTTCAAGATAAACGCAAAAAAAGACAAGTGAACAAGCTTTAAGATGATACCAATAACTCTACATGCCCAAAAATTGACAAGAACCTGATTCCACCACGCTGCCTCACATACATATAGACTTTCTTGTTGCTTCTCCCTCTCAATCACATCACATCGTACTTGAAGTCTAGTGTCTATCATATATATATACGCAGCCGTCGTGCTCAGTTAATTTCTTTTTGATGTTTTCATGTTTTTGCGTCAACCTATTCCTTTTGTGGGTGGTTGGCGGGTGCTCTGGTGTGGTTTGCTTCTTCTTTCTTATCAAATATCTATTGTCTTTATCTCTCCTTCTTTTTTGTGTTTGTTATTCCCTTGTAACGTCTCTAATCTTCGGCCCTTATACTATGATCTTACTGTGTTGCAAGTGCCGTAAAACGCTGACTAAAACTAAAACTATTCCTTTCAGAGAGTACAGTGGTTCTTAGCCGCCAGTTTGTGTGTTCTGTGGTGGCCAGCTTTTTCCTGTGTCTGTTCCCGGAGAGGACCCGAGACAAAACGTCCAAGATGAACATCGTCAACTTTACGTCTTTCTTCAAGCACTTGCCTATGTAAGTGGAACAGGCACACTTGACAAGTATTTTTTTATATTATCCTCTTCGTTCTTTTCTTCCCTTCCTTCCCTTCCTTCCCTGTCCTCTGTGTTAACCCTTTTTGAGCCATATCGGCCTAAACCGGCCTTGCCGTCATGTCACCAAACCAGCTTTTACCAACCTGACACACCCACCTGTACTTGCGGCAGGCAGGCTCAGAAATAAGAACATTCCACTCTAAATTTAGTTGCTCACGTCCTAGGTCTTTGTATGGGAAATTTAATTGAAATACGTCGCTTAGATCAAAAGCAAAATCAATTTCTTTACACCACCCCCCTGAATCTCGGAAAAACACTGAAATAATTAAGTTCTGGGAAGCCATCAGCTGGCCGCCATTTTGGTTGTGTCACATTTATTGTTCTTGTTTCCCCCACAGCCCGTCCCAAGTAGCCAAGCTGCGCTGTATCTTGCATTACTTTGAGTGTGTCATCGAGAGAGAGATGAACCTACCGGGGCAGATTGTCTTTTCCAGAAAGGTTTGTTTAGTGTTTTGTCGTGAGCTTCTTGTACTTTTGTTTTTAATTATTGTCCAGTTTAAGTGATAAACGTCCAGCTTTATTATAACAATTATAGAGTCTGGTGTCATTATAAACGTCCAGCTTTATAAAAACAGTGATAGAATCTTGTATAACAATTATAGAGTCTGGTGCCATTATAAAGTTCAGCTTTATTAGAACAATTATAGAGTCTGGTGTCATTATAAAGTTCAGCTTTATTATAACAATTATAGATACTGGTTAATTTATAAAGTTCAGCTTTATTATAACAATTATAGAGTTGGGTTTCATAATAAAGCCCAGCTGTCGGCAAGTCTGGCAAGAGATTTTGGGACCTGTTCCTCTCTAGAACTGCCAACTATAGTAAGTGTTGACACATTTTGTGGCATGTTTTTGCTTTCTTTCTTCCCCC